ACCCTAAACCCTAAACATAACCCCGTAAACCCTAAACCCTGAACAATAGATCCTAAACAAGAAGCCCTAAGCAATAAACCCCAAACGGCAAACGAAACCCTAAACCCTAAACCCTAAACCCTAAACCCTAAACCCTAAACCCTAAACCCTCAACCCTAAACCCTAAACCCTAAACCCTAAACCCTAAACCCTAAAACCTAAACCCTAAACCCTAAACCCTAAACCCTAAACCCTAAACCCTAAACCCTAAACCCTAAAAACCCTAAACCCTAAACCCTAAACCCTAAACCCTAAACCCTAAAACCTAAACCCTAAACCCTAAACCCTAAACCCTAAACCCTAAACCCTAAACCCTAAACCCTAAACAATAAACAGTTAAGGACCGCACCTTCTATTAATTTAATATCTACAAACTGCAGCTGCTGCAGCGCGACAGCCATTGCTACAGTGTCGCTGCAGCAAGGTAGATGATGCAGCACTGCACGCCTCCTGCTGCTGCTGCTGCTGCTGCTGCTGTTGCTCCCGTTGCTGCTGCTGCTGCTGCTGCTGCCGTTGCCGAAGGCAGCCCAAATAGAAGCGAGAAGCAGCACTCGATTTGCAACAGACTTCGAGCCTGAACAAGCAACAGCAGCAGCAGCAGCAGCAGTGGCGGCAGCAACAGCAGCAGCAACAGCAACAACAACAGCAGCAGCAGAAGCAAAATAACAACGCAATGGGGGCGGCAACAGTTGCTACAGCGGCAGCAAACGCAGCAGAAACAACAACAGCAGCAGAAGCAGCAGCAACAGCAGCAGGAGCAGCACCACTACCGGCAGCAGCAGCAACAGCAGCAGAGATAGCTCCAGCAGCAGCAGCAACAACAGCAGCAGCAGCAGTTCTTTTGCATACCTGGTACGCATACTTCACCGCAGATCGGTTGAACGCAGCATGTCTTTCTCCTTGCTGCTGCTGCTGTTGCTCCTGCTCCTGCTGCTGCTGCTGCTGCTGCTGCTGGATTTGTGCAGCAGCACGGAACGAGCAGTTTAATAGCAGGAGAAAAGTATTGATGAATGCATGCAAGAGAAACAGCAGACAACGATGAAGTGCAGCGACCAATTGCTTTCAATACAACCATTCGTATATGTCCTCCTCTATTCTTCTTATCTCGCTGCATGCGCTGCAGCAGCTGCTGCAGCACATCCTGCTGCTGCTGCTGCTGCTGATGATGTTGGTGCTGTTGCTGTTGCTGTTGCTGTTGCGAATGCTGCTGCAGCGCATGTTGCGGCGAATGCTGCTGCTGCGAATGCTGTTGCAGCTGCAGCCCACCCTGCTGCTGCTGCTGCTGCTGCAGGAGTATCTGCTGCTGCTGCTGCAGCTGCTGCTGCAGCAGCTGAGGGAGAGCAACTGGGAGCTTATAGCGGCGCATGCATTGCTGCAGCAAGAAGAAAGGAAGTAAATTACAAACCCCGAGCTGCCTATACACCCCAGCCTCCAACACACAACCCGCCGCCACGCACTCCCCGTGAGTCCTGAAAAACGCAAACCCTAAACCCTAAACCCTAAACCTTAAACCCTAAACCCTAAACAATAAACAATAAACCCTCAGCAATAAACAATAAACAATAATAAACAATAATAAACAATAAGCAATAATGAACAATAAACAATAAGCCCTAAACACTAAGCAATAAACCCTAAACCCTAAACCCTAAACCCTAAACCCTAAACCCTAAACCCTTACCAGTCTACCCCCGGATAAGTTTCGATTGCATGCCCAATTGTATGCCCTAAGTTGAGCACACTGCGGATATGTTTATCTTCTTTATCTTCTGAAACAACTGCTGCTTTTAAAGCAACAGCAGCAGCAACAACTCCAAGCAATGGCAGCATATGCTGCTGCTGCTGCTGCTGCTGCTGCTGCTGCTGCTGTTGCAGCAGCTGCTGCTGCGGAAGCCCCAACGTCTCGAGGTCGGCTGTGAGGAGATGGTGCAGCAGAGAAGGGCTTAGAGCAGCCGCTGCAGCAACAGCAGCAGCAACAGCAGCAGCAACAGCAGCAGCAACAGCAGCAGCACCACAAGAGAAAGGAATATGCAGCACTGGTGTACAGAGACAGACACAGGCTCCGGTGCGAAACCCTAATTTAGGGTTTGTGGTTTGTTTTTAGGGTTTAGGGTTTATTGCTTAGAGTTTAGAGTTTACTGTTTAGAGTAATATATGGTTTAGGGTTTAAGATGTAGGGTTTGCTGCTTATCGCCTAGGGTTTAGGGTTTAGGGTTTATAGGGCTGATCAGGAATATTTAGGGTTTAGCGTTCATGGTTTAGAGTTATTTAGGGTTTAGGGTTGTTTAGGGTTTAGGGTTTAGGGTTTAGGGTTTAGGGTTATATAGGGTTATTTAGGGTAATATATAGGGCGTCTTAGGGTTTAGAGTTATTTAGGGTTATACGTAAAGCTATGTAGGGCTATTTAGGGTTATTTAGGGTTTAGGGTTTAGGGATTAGGGTTTAGGGCTATTTAGGGTTT